AAAAAAAAAAAAAAATTATAAAATACCTAATTTTTCCAGCACCTGGAAAAATGGCATAGAATAGGTGGGGTGGGTTATGGGATTATTATGTTTATTAAAAGTTCACAAGGGGATTCGTATCAGTGGAATGGGGCTACCACAACCCGGGTTAGCCCTTGTATTAACAAGGTGACCAGGGAAACCAGAAGAAAACTCAAAAAGCTGACTTGCCTCAAGAGTTGGTTCTCCACCTTTTCCACTGCTCAGTAATTGAGATGTAGCTGATGTACATTAGTTTATCAAGAAAAGCTTCTCACATTTTATATAAGTATAGTCATTGACTGTTCAGCATTTATGACCTGTTCCATACAAATACTACTTAGGTGGTAATAGTTGCTTAGGTTTTAGGATGTGTCAGATTCAGGGTCAGATTTTTTATTATTAGATCTCAAATGGCATTATGATACAGTAGTAAAATACAAATGTCATAATAATATATGTAACTTTTTCTCTGTGATAGAGAAAAAAATGTATTTAGATTAAATGCTTATATTTTCCCATGGACTTACGATTATTTGAGATGTCATATTATTTATGATTCATGTTTAACTGGGATTCACCCTATATACCATTTCTTTGACTTCTAGCCTCTTAGCAGAAAACAGCTAATCCATATTCAAATGTAAATGCATGAAGTTAAGCTAGGTAATGCAGTCTTTTTTATAAATTGAGATAATTTGCATATAGTAAAATTTACCTTATTTAATGTACAGTTCTGTGAGTTTCAACAAATGCATAGTTAGGTAACAACACAAACAAAATATGGAACAATGTCATCACTCCTAAAAACATTCCCTCTTGCACTTCTATATTCAGCCTCTCTTCCCATCCAAAGTTCCTGCAACTAACCTGCTTTTTTGTCCCTATAGTTCCTCTTTTATGAGTATGCCATAAATTTGGAACCACACAGTATGTACCCTATAAGTCTGGCTTTTCTTAATGCATTTGAGATTCATCCCTATTGTTGTGTTTATCAGTTGATTCATTTTTTATTGCTGGGTAGTTGTTGTATGAATATTTTTTTCGTTTTTTAAATCTATGCATTCGCCAGCTGAAGTACATTTGGGTTGTTTCCTCTTTGGGGCAATAATAGATAAAGCTGTCATAAACATTCATATATATGGTTTTATGTGAACATAGCTTTTTATTTCTGTTAAGTAAATACTGAATGGTGGGATTGCCTGGTGATATTATTTTGTATGATTAAATTTAAGAAGCTGCCAGACTGTTCTCTAAATTGGTTGTTCCATTTTCATTTCCCAATGCAAGGTTCTGTGAGTTTCATTTCCTCTGCTTCCTCACTAGTGCTTGTTACTGTCAGTTTTGTTTTTAGACCATTCTAATAAGTGTACAGTGGTGTCTCATGGTGGTTTTACTTTGTACTTTCTTAATGACTAAACATTGAGCATCTTTTTATATCTTAATTTGCCATCTGTATGTCTACTTTGGTTAAATATGTTCAAATATTTTGTCTATTTTGCTGCTTTTTTTCTTACTGAGTTTTGAGTGTTTCTTGCAGATTTCAGATACAAGTCTTTTATCTGATATATATTTTACAAATATATTTTCCTTCCCTGTAGCTTCTCTTTTCAAAGAGCAGAAGTTTTTTTTTTTTTCATTTTTCCACTTTTTAAAAGACAAGGTCTTGCTATTGCCCAGATAAGAGTGCAATGGCACAGTTATAGCTCACTGTAATCTCAAACTCCTGGGTTCAAGTGATCCTCCCACCACAGCCTCCTGCGTAGCTAGTACTGTAGATGTGCACCACCACGCCCAGCTGATTTTTACATTTTTTGTGGAGATGGGGTCTTGCTATGTTGCCCAGGCTGGTCTCAAACTCCTGGGCTTGGGCAATCCTCCTGCCTTGGCCTCCCAAAGTGTGGGATTATGTAGGCATGAGCCAACCTACCTGGTTGGTATGTTCATTTTGATGAGGTCCAGTTGATCAGTTTCTCTTTTATGGATCATATTTTCATAGTATCTACAAGATGGTTGCCTAGCCCATGATCACTAAGATTTTCTTCTACATTTTCTTCTGGAACCATTACAGTTTGAGGACTTAGTATGTAATTCAGTTCATCTTTGTATGTAGTGCTTAGTATGGATTGAGGTTTAATCTTTTGCATATGGACATTTGGCTGTTCCAGTACTATTTGTTGAAAGACTACTTTTTAATATTTTTCTTTTTAAAATGTAATACATAAACAGAAAAATTCAAAAGTGTAAAAAGTTCACAGTGAAAATTCAGTATCTCACATTTTTCCCCCAGATGCAATCAGTTACCCCAAAGAGATTCCATGCTTATACTTGGCTCCCTGCTACTTTTTTGGGAAGAATCGTCTTTCAGTAGGCTCAAAGTGACCTTGATAAAAAGTTAGGTTATCTACATCATATCTCTGCACATACCCATACTTCCCCTCTGTCTCACTGCCTTCATCTCGTGCTCTTCTCCTAGTTCCTGTCTAGCCATCCTGCCCTCTTTGCTGCTTTCACACACACCAAGTATGTTTCCTCCCCAGGGCTTTTGTGCTTGTTCATCTTTTTTGCTTGGAATCCTTTTTCTCTCAGATATCTGTAAGACTTGCTTCTTCACAATTTTTTAGGCTTTGCTTAAATTTCACCTTCTTGGTGAGGTCTTCCCTGACACCTAGTTTAAAGCTGCAAATTGTGTCCCCCAACTTTCTGTCCTCTTTCCTGTTTTATTTTTCTCCATTTCAGTTACCACTTTCAAATATGCTTTATGATTTATTCACTTTGCTCATTGTCTTAACCCCCAACTAATATGTAAGCATAATGAAGAGATTCGTGTTTTCATTGCTGTCTTCCCATGCCTAGAATAATGTATTTAATGTTCGTATTATTAAGTCTGTATTCTGAAGGCCTGAAAATACATTCTCAATAACAACATGTTTTTACATAAGGGTAGATGAAAACAAATATATAAAACATATATAATTTATGTATTGGGCTTTTTGTAAAACATAAATTTTTATTTCTTCCTATATGTACTTTCTCTGGCTACTTCTAAAAGTTTACTTAGGTTGGAACCCACTTTATGACTATACAGATTTTCTTTGAGATAGATAGTTAGAAAATTTACATAGATTATAGAAAGATTTCATCTATGAAAAAAAATATTGTATCTGAATACACTAAGGCAGCATATACAACCTAGACTGACAAATTATTCTGAGATCTCCCACTAAATTGCTGAATGATCTAAAACAAGATCTAACTTCTTTGCTACATATTTTGGCACAGAAATTGCCAGCTATACAAAAGGAAATTTCTACTTTCCCTCCCCTGTGTGATGTGATGACAACAGCACAGCTTTCTATACTCTGTTGAAAGGATGCTGTCCACAATTCACAACTGGTGGTAACGCAGTTTTAAGAGAAAATCCAAGGGAAGTAATAAGTGTTTACAGTATTAACTTGGGTTTGAGATGCATCATTACTTACAACCTGTAGTAATACAGGTCTTAGAAGTTCTGAAAACTGTTCATGGCCTCAACACTTCCAGTAGACTACAGGTGGCCCTCAAAATAATTCCAGACTCTAAATTCTAACGTATGCTGAAGTGTTCCGACAAAGTGAGAATATAAAGAACACTTTAGCATACATTAGAATTTCATGGAGGACTTGATAAAACAGATTGCTGTATTCTACCACCAGTTTCTGATGTTCGCGGGTCTGGGGAGGGACCTGAAACTATAGATTTCTAACAAGTTTCCAGGAAATGTTGATTTTACTGTCCAGGGACTACACTTTAGAAACCACACAAATAGGAATCTCTTCAAACCCAAGGCACCTATCAAAATATTTTCAACCAAGTGATACCACATGACAAAGGCCAGCAGTGCTAGGGAAGAAACAACATTCTGTTCTTTGGCCTGTCAACAATGACCATTGCCAGAGCCAAATTGAGAGAAGAGTGGGCTGTCTGTTCAAGGAAACTTGGATGTATAATCTTAGCAAGCTGAGAGAAAGCAGCATAGTCACACCCTCTTTATATGGTAAGAACTATTCTAGAATTGGAGACTTAGAAATCTTCTCTTGGTAACTGGGACTCAGTCTGTGAAACTCCAGTACATCCCTCCGCAGAGCAGTGACCCTGACCTCCAGGATTTATTTTGTCTCAGCTGTAGTATTCTGAGGTTTAGAGTGGCCTTTACTTAAAAACAGCAACAGTTTTTTTTTAAGTTAACACAAAATCTTTAGCAAAATTTGCCCCAAAATACTAAGTTTAATTTATTGCATTTGGTCATTTATCATGAGTTTATAAAATTTTAAAGTTGTAATTCTTTGTATTCATATGACCAAAAGGACTTCTTGACAAAATCTTTCCACACTAAGTTCTCATTAATAACTGAATAAATAGCAATCACGGTGTCAAGAGAATAACCTTCCTACTATGAATACAAATTATATTTTCATAACATTACTTATAACTGATGCTTTAAGGCAAGTATGAATAAGTCAATGTCAAGGAAGTAAAATATAAATGACTCAAACATGGCAAAGAAAAGGAATAATCAAAATGAGAAGTTTAGTTGTATTCTGCTTTAAAACTGAACCTTGGCCCTTCAAACTAACCCTCAAGCCTTTATGTAAAATATATCAGGTAGCGGTCATTAGGAAACCTAACAGCATCTTGAAAGCACTAATAAAGGTCACTGTTGTGAAAGCCATTTTAAAACAACCATAAGCTGGCAAAGACATGACAGAATGAATTTTTTCAGAACTCTGGAATCTAATCCAAAACTTATACAGCATCCAAGAGACTGCTTAATGAAGAAAAGGGCAGCTGATTTTTGACATTTAAGGAAATCTCTGTTAGGTCACTGGCTGACTAATGAGATATTGGAACAGAGACTTCAGTGACCACACCAACAAGGAATACTGCCTTTGCAAAAACAATTTGGAAAAGTCACTAAACAAATGGATGAATGCAGCTCTCAGAATCAACAACAGCACACCCCGAGGCAGGGAAAGAATATGATTACTGGAATTAACACATTGTTATGTTCAAATGCCCGGTTTCCAACAAAAAAGTACGAGGCATACACAGAAAGAGGAAAGTACAGCCTATTGAAAGGGAGAAAATAAATTGGCAAAAACCTTCCCCAGGAAGCCCAGACATTGAACTTACTAGACAACTGTCTTAAATATGCTCAAAGCTAACGGAAACCAGGAAAATGATGGATGAACAAAGTGAGAATATCAGTAAAGAGAAATTATTTTTTTAAAAAAACCAAGTACAAAATTTGGAGCTACAAGTGATTTTAGGACATGCTAGAGCTAGATATACCAAGACGTTTTTTCATGCTAAAACTTTGGAAAGACTTAACTCTCCTTAAGTTCAGATTAATGAAAGACATAAGGAGAGAGGGCATTTGGAGACTGTGTATGCTGTATGAGAGTTAATAAGTAGGACTGTAAAGCATCTGTTAGACAAGACATCACAGGAGTTGGGCTCCTGTTGACTTGCCATTTATTGGCTGATTTGTCTTGGGACAGGCGCTGAACATCTCATCCATAGTTTCCTGCTCTGTGAAATAGAGCATCTGTTCTACAGACACATTATGAAGAGCCAGTGAGACTGTACAGAAATGCTGAAAATGTGAGGCATCCACTATGTTCATCCTCCAGAGGAACCAACAGCCTAATGATTAAAGAAAGAGAATGTTTACTTTACTATGCTTCCAAGTTATCAATAGAGACACAGTGCTTGAGTTAAAGAACTCTGCAGACTTCAGCAGCTGTTCAGGTGGTCATTATGCCCAGAGGAGGAATTCTAGCCCCTCTGGAATTCCATCACCCTATCATCAATTAGATTTTTTTTCCCACAGTCTCCATTTCCCACTTACTATCTCCATCTCACTCCTCGCAAAAATTTATTTTGCATACTTAAAATTAGAGTAACTTTAAATGCTTAGTTTTTCAATTATTTCTCCTTTCCCAGGAATTTTTGTGACATTTTTAAATATCACTAGAAGACAATCTAGAAACACTGAAAATCCCAGATTGGATCAGCTTGGGCCTTCCTCTGTTGTTTTACTGAGCATTAAGAAAAAGCAGCTGTAAGAAATAGTCAAGTCCAAAGTCAGTTTGTAAATGCTGAACAAGTAACAGATAAGACTACTGACTGGCTTCTTGGGAAAACTAGTTAGTTAGGAGAGAGAAACTGTGGAAAAACTGTTGTACTGATGTCACCAGTGATTGAAGGAGTATCTTTAATTGGCTAATTTGAAAGAAAGTCACAAAAGAAAGGCACGGATAACCAAAATCCTGGGATATGTCTGAAACTCATTTGAGGTCAGTAGACCTATCTGGAACTACATTTTCCATCCCAGTTCCTAACCAAGTTTCATTTCCTTTTCTTTGTTCTCTGATGTAAGAGTTAACAGTGAAATGACCAAAATCCTGAAAGCCAATGGAGCAACAATAAACACATTCAGATAGATTGCCTCGTAAATTCTTTCAAGTTAGTTCTTAAAAGTAACACATTTTTTAAAAGTCCACCGTGACAAAATTGATAATTTAATATCTGATTATCAGCCTCTCCAAAGGATTCCTGGAAAAGTTATTTTCTTTTTATCATTTAAAAATATTCCATTTACAAAGTCACTTTACATGAAGCTTTTCAGTGACATAACTTTCTCATAAAATGTGGTCTTCTGCTTTAAAATCCATTCGATCTTTTGGAGAAAGTAAATTCTCCAGCAGAACTGTCTCATGTTTATTGATTTTAAATAACTTGGCTTTTCTTTGCTCCACACCTTTTAAAATTTATATTTCACTTTTTCTTTTGGGGATAGGTTCAGAATTTTCACAGCTGTATTCAGGTAACTGAAGACTTTGTGTCTCCAGAACATCTTGTAGAGTCATTTCATTTAACACAGGAACTGAGACTTTTGAAGGAAGAAATCAATTATGATGATAAACTACAGGTAAGAGATGGGTGTTCTAACTATATCCTGTTCTGTAGGCTTTTGTTTAGAAATATGATACATGTGTAACAGGCAGTCATTGCCTAGTTGGTCACATTAAGGTAACAACCAAAGATTAACACCAACATGTATTTAATTGTATGACTTATATTGTCCCTTATTTTAACTTTTGCCTTAACACTTTTAAACATTTTTCTTATATTTGGCTATCCTAGCTTCCTCATTAAAATTGTTTTTTTTTTAATCTGGAAGTTGTCATTTGTTAATTTCTGTCCAACTGAAGTGATTAGAAATATCAACATCTTTTTCAGGTTAAAAATATTTTGTATCATGCAGTCAAAGAAATGGTGAAAGCCTTGAAGATACATGAGGATGAAGTAGAGGATATGGAAGAAAATTAAGTGTGATCCAGTTTGATATTTTTAGGTCATTGAACTGGGATTACTTAACCTTGAATGATGATATGTATGCACACTGACTTAAGTTTCATAAAACCATCAGTGCCAAGAAATTCTCTTTGTAGTAATTACTTGTTACTGACACCGCAGCAGTATAGCATATGTCACAGCTCCTGTGATTCAATGTTGTAAAACAAGCAGAATTTTAAAAGCAGCACTATATAGCTGTTTTGTATTATAATGTATATGATGTTTGTGAAAATGCCAGATTTAAAATGATGTATTTATTTTTGGTAAAAAATAAAAAAATTCTATGCTATATTGTTGATCAAGTGTAAATGTGACCTTGTACAGTTTACTAAAATTACTGATATTTTTCACTACATTGAGACAGTTACTGTGAGAATAGGACACAAACACCAGCTATTGCCTGCATCTGGGAAATTGCTGAATCGCACAGCAGTCATGTCATAATCAGAAAATTACTGCCAAATAATTGTAAAATTTGTAAAGTATAAAGTATATAAAGTAGATACTAAATACAGACACTTCAATATTTTGTTGAAGCTATTGACTGTACAATTAAACATTTTCAAAAGGTGTAATTTATTTAAAATTGTCTCATTTTGGTAAAATTTATGTGACCTTTTAAAGCTAAATATTAAACTTAATATGCTATGTAAATATATACATATATACATTTAATGATGTATTTTTTTAAAACATTGGCTTGCTTTTGTTAAAGTGCAAGTGTTACATATGGCTTTGTACATTAAAGTTGAAAGGGGTTTTACATTTTCCATTAAAAGGACTTTATCAAAAATTTACTTTTTCCAGAGTTCTCCCTCTTTTGACAAGCATACCACTGGGAGCAGAGAAGGGCCTGAAGTCAGTCATTCTGGGTATAAGTATGACCCTAGCAAGTTTAATTGAAGTCTTGGTTTTAATAGCCGGCTGCTTTTGGCAGTTGGTTGCTTCAGGCTTACATATTCCCGACCCTTTAAGTTACTGGAAAGATGTAGGCCTCCACTGACACCTGCAGGATATTGAGAGGATAGCCATTCCTTCTCATCAGAGCATTTAGCTTAAAAGAAAAAAGTGGGAGCCCGAGTTGTAACACCTTGCAAGTTGCTTTTTTTCCTTATGTGTCACCATCGTTCAGCTCCATGTAATCTGTTACTCCACCTTCCATTTCAAGAAAGGTTCAGCCAGGAATGTGAACAATTACATTTCACATTAATTACCTACACTTATCATAGAATGGATAATGACTACTTGGCTGGAAAGAAAAATTGGCCTGAAGAATATTTCAGATGATTTTGTGAACCTTCTTTTGTGAGGTTTTGATTTTTTTTTTAATACCATTTTACCAAATGTGCCTCAGCTGATGAAATGGTTTCTTTTGCCTAATGCTTTCATACGTTCCATCCGATTTGATAAAAATTAAGCAAAGGTGTTAGTAGAGTACCACCTGCTGGTCCCCTAAAGCCTGCCAGGATCCCAAAGTCTGTGGTGGTGATTTTCCTTCAAAAGCTTTTGCTTCTCTTGCTCTTGCATGAGCCACCTTTTTAAACCATATTTACAACTTATTCAGAATAGCTGAAGCTAATGAAGATAAAGCCAGGCAATGTGCTGCTTTCAGTACAAACCCACCTAATGAAAGTATTCTATCCATAATCTGAATTCTATGCTACTAACCTAATTCTTTGTAAGTCTGGGGTGAAGAGAGACAACCATAATGCTTATATCCTTAAAGACATTTGGAGGCTTTTTGGAAGGCTGGGGAGTTGATTACTGATTGCTCCCTAATTACTGGAGCAATTCCTCTGACCTTTTTCTCTCCATCATTTTGGTTGGCTCTGATACTCCTCACATATGAGTATGTCTGAATGTCAGCTTTCTCCAGACAGTGGTATGGTGGTGGTATCTTAAATGTGTACAATAACTTGAGAAACATTAAAGAATCTTTTTAAAGGGAAAGCTGTGGTAAATAGTTCTTTCCCATTCTAGTCTATAATGTTTTTTGAGACAGTCTCGCTCTGTTTCCCAGGCTGGAGTGCAGTGGTGCAATCATAACTCACTGTAGCCTTGAACTCCTGGGCTCAAGTGATCCTCCTCCCTCAGCCTCCCAAGTAGCTGGGACTACAGGCATACATCACTATGCTCAGCTACTTTTTTTTTTAGATGGAGTCTTACTCCATCACCCGGGCTGGAGTTCAATGGCACGATCTCGGCTTACTGCAGCCTCCACCTCCTGGGTTCAAGTGATTCTCCTGCCTCAGCCTCCCGAGTAGCTGGGACTACAGGCACATGCCACCTCACCTGGCTAAGTTTTTGTGTCTTTAGTAGAGACGGGGTTTCACTATTGTTGGCCAAGCTGGTCTCAAACTCCTGACCTTGTGATCTGCCTGTCTTAGCCTCCCAAAGTGCTGGGATTACAGGCATGATTTTTAAAATATTTACTTATTTTTTAGTAGAGATGAGGTCTATGTTGCCAAGGCTGGTCCCTATCTCCTGAGCTCAAGCGATCCTCCTACCTCAGCCTCCCAAAGTGCTGAGATTACAAGTGTAAGCCACCACACCTGGCCCTAACTGATAAGTTTTTACTGGTATATGGATTTCTTTTCATGAATAATCAATTACATGGATTCAAATCCATTTATCTTCTACCACACATCTGGGGACTGTAGTACTCATACAAATCTGTCTGGTTTCCTGTCACTTCCCTTTTTGGTAGATGGGATATGGATTTAATAACATCTGGGTAAAATTAATAAGCTTCAGGAACGTGCTGTCATACCTTTACTTTGCTCTGTGCATAGATACTTAGATCGATAGATGGATTCAACATGTTCTATTTCTAGATGCCAGCCTATCGAAGATGCTTTCACAAATGAGACCAGCAGTCAGCCTTGGGAGAGGAAAAAGTGATTTAGGTATTCTGTATTCATTTTGTTGTTTTGTTGTTGTTGTGTGTGTGTTTTGAGATGTAGTTTGCTCTTGTCACCCAGGCTGGAGTGCTTGGCACCATCTCAGCTCACTGCAACCTCCATCTCCCAGGTTCAAGTGATTCTCCTGCCTCAGCCTCCCAAGTAGCTGCAATTACAGGCCCATGCCATCACGCCCAGCCAATTTTTATATTTTTAGTAGGGACAGGGTTTCACCATGTTGGCCAGGCTGGTCTCAAACTCTTGACCTCAGGCGATCTGCCCACCTTTGCTACCCGAAGTGCTGGGATTACAAGCGTGAGGCACCGCGCCCAGCTAGTTACTCTGTATTCAATACAGTATTCAGTATGAATTAGGATAGCAAGTTGGCCAAGACACAAGGTTATATATGCTGCCCGGCCTGTCACCAGGATGCAGACTCAGATCTTACCGACTGCAAATGTTAGGATATGGCCTGGTTATGCAATTATTATGTAAATCTAGATAGATATGCTTTGAAACCATATAAAAATATAGCAAATGTGAGTAGTATACAAAGTACTTTGGCTCCCACAGTTATCAGTTTGGTTCTTTTAATGAAAATTAACTTTTAAATAAAAATAAAATGTTGGCAGGCTCCAGGTCACTGGCTGCGTGCCTTGTTAGTTCCCTTTCTTGGCTGGGGAGGTGTTCACAAGTGGCTGCCGCTGAAACAGGATTCTTCTTTCTGTGTCTTGTCTGTGAAAAAGACCTCAGCCCTGGGGCAAGTTGGGGGTATATCAAGGACATGTGTTGTATGGGTTGGTCACTGGACTCCACTCTGAGAGGAAGGGCATTATGAGGACAGAGGCCAACACTACCTCACAGTCTTTGACCCAAATTTTACAGATGATGAAAGATGTGGAGAGCTGGATGAGTAAACAAACACAAATGGGAGGCTGGACATGGCAGCTCATGCTAGTAATCCCAGCACTTTGGGAGACCAAGGTGGGCAGATTACTTGAGACCGGAAGTTTGAGACTAGCCTGGCCAACATGGTGAAACCCCTTCTTTACTAAAAACATAGAAGTTTGCTGGGCCTGGTGGCTCAGGCCTGTAGTCCTAGCTACTCTGTAGACCAAGGGACGAGAACTGCTTGAACCTCGGAGGCAGTGGTTACAGTGAGCCAAGATTGTGCCACTGCACTAGCAAGACTCTGTCTCAAAAAAACAGAAGAAAAATGGGAAGGAAGTATAAGATCAGGTGCGGACTGACTGCTTCCCCAAGGAGAGCCAGTGTGGTCCTCTGGCAGCATATTAAGGATGTTCACTAACAGGTGGGGCTACTGTGGAATATATAAACAACAGTTTAAGGTAGGTGATACAGGTTTGCTTTAGTAAGTCGAAGACATTCACGATAAAGTGGACTTAGGGATCGTTATTCCCAGCTGCACATGCCATGCCCTACATAAATGTAAGATAGAACTATCTTGGGCTGGGTGCGGTGGATAACCTGAGATCAGGAGTTTGAAACCAGTCTTACCAACATGGTGAAACCCTATCTCTACTAAAAATACAAAAATTAGCCAGGCGTGATAGTGTGGCCTATAATCCCAGCTACTCAGAAGCCTGAGGCAGGAGACTCACTTGAACCCAGGAGGCAGAAGTTGCAGTGAGCCAAGATTGTACCACTGCCTTCCAGCCTGGCAAACAGAGCAAGATTGTCTCCAAAAAAAAAAAAAAAAAAAACCCACAACTATCTTGTATTTACAACTTATTCAAAAGTGTTAGGCATTGTTGATATGATGGTATAAAAAGATGCTGAGAATTGGCCCATCTCTGCTAAATAATATATCACAGGTATATACAAAGTATTTGGAAAAGGTGTAATCAGTTATGCCTGAGGTAGGGAAGTTTTCAGAAAGGTAGTATTTGCACAATGCTTCAAGTAACAAAAAGGCCAGAGCAAATGTTTACATACCTAGTTCTCCCTTCGGCCTTTTTGCATAAACACATTCACCGTTAGAGACTTCCATACACTTTTCAAGAGTGATTTACAAAGTCATTCACTCTTCAATTCTAGTTCTAGAAAGGTAGCAGGGAAGGATCTGCTTCTTGGAATGGCCTTTATAAGAGGTGAATGTCAAATAGACAAATTCCTAACAAAGTTATCCAGTAAACAACTACCAGGATGTCATAGGCAAGTCAGTGTAGTCTCATCTCCCCCATTCTATAGATAAAATATAATCACACTATTTTTGCATTAAACGTAGAAGATACTGTGGTAGCCTGAGGCATTTTTCTTAATCAGTGAATTGAGGCCAGGCTTGGTGGCTCATGCCTGTAATCCCAGCACTTTGAGAGGCTGAGGCAGGCAGATTACTTGAGGCCAGGAGTTCAAGACCAGCCTGGCTAACATGGTGAAACATCTCTACTAAAAATCCAAAAGTTAGCTGGGCATGGTGGCATGCGCCTGTAATCCCAGGTACTTAGAAGGCAGGAAAACCACTTGAACCCTGGAGACAGAGGTTGCAGTGAGCCGAAATCACACTGCTGCCCTCCAGCATAAATGACAGAGCCAGACACCGTCTCAAAAAAAAAAAAAAAAATCAGTGAACTGGATTTATAGCCAACCTAATACATTGATTTTATCTCCTAATTTATTTGTGATTGTGTAATCCATATGTGGGAACTCATTCCCCAAATTTTTGAATAACTAGAATTTACTCCTGTTTTGTAGAATCAAATTATGTTTAACAAGAAAATTAATATTTTGATGGCCGGGCGCAGTGGCTCAAGCCTGTAATCCCAGCACTTTGGGAGGCCGAGGCGGGTGGATCACGAGGTCAAGAGATCGAGACCATCTTGGTCAACATGGTGAAACCCCGTCTCTACTAAAAATACAAAAAAATTAGCTGGG